TACGAACAATTGATGATTTCATTTGTCGATTACTATCATCAATTGCTTTCAATTGTACTTCAGCATCTTGTAATTTTCGGTCAACAGATGCTTTATCTGCACGTAGTTGATCTATTGTTCGTTGTAATGTTGAATGAAGATTATCTTTCTATAAAATATACAGATTATTATAATCTAGTTTTAATTCAAATCGAGATTTTATCCATAGAATTCTTTTCATAGTTTTATTTGATTGTATATTTCAATGAATCTGTATTATTTTATTTGAATCAGGAGTTATTTAAAATAAACCTCTTACTGTATTGTTCAATGATAATGATCTCATTCAATTTCGGATAGACGAATCTATTCAGGACTCTATCCTGATGAGATTTGAAGACAAAAAAGTAAGATCATATGATCTGGTATTGTTTCAATGAATCTCTCTAAGTTTGATTGTCATTCATATAATCAATATTTACATAAGTAAAATATCCTTGAATTATATATATACACTGAAATTATGAGGTCAAAGATAGTTTAGACTAAACAATACCTCTTTCATATGTTTTTCTAATTTATCTCTATCTGCTTTCGCTTGTTCATAACGTCGAGTCAAATCATCAATTTCATTTTTATGTCGATTTTCCATTTGACGTAATTTCTTGAAAAAAAAAGAATATTAAAAAAAAGATAATTTTTTTTTTCTAGAAATCAAACCTCTTCATAATCATTTTTATCTCGTGCAAGTTTATCTTGTACAGAACGAAGTTGTGAACTTAGATTACTTTGTTGTTCAAGTGTACCTTTATACACATCGAGATCAGATTGCATACTTGCCCTGAAAATTTGATTCTCAGTCTTATATAATAAAATATATTTTGTTTTTTGATTACCGTAATTTTTTTTGAAGTTCATCTTTTTCTCTTTCAATTGTTTGTTTCATTTGATTGATTTCTTCTTGTTTTCGAATTTCTAATAATTTTTTTTCTTGTACAATACTATCACGTATATCATTTTCAATTGAACTAAATAAATAAATTTAAATTATGTATAATTAGTTTATCTAAGTTTTACTTTAAATCAGCTTTCATTTTATCACGTAATGTTCGTTCTTGTTTTTCTTTATCTGAACGTAATTCATTTCTTAATCTTTCAAGATATTTATCATTCTCTTCAAGTATTTGTAATTTTTCTTCATTCGTAGATCTTATTAAAAATAAAAAATTAATCTCATAAGAATATATATGTGTATTTACTGTTCAAGTCGCATTCGAAGTTTTGTTAAATCAACTTCTTCACGTGGAGTAATAAATGTATCTTCCTATTAAAGATTCTATGATAAGAAACTAATTAACAATAAAATTTCTATTTACATTAGTTAAAGTAGTTTCTGGTTTATGTACGGTTCCATTTGATAGACGACGTAGTGCAGCTTCAGCAGCTAAATCTGCACGTCTTTTACGTTCATTATCTTCATCATCATCATCAAAATCGTTTTGATAATCATGTTTTTTATCTAAAAAAATAGATTTAGTTTTTATATGAAAAAATAATTTCTATATAATATACCAGTATTTTCCATTGAATTTAATGAACGGGATGCAGCAAGTGCAGATGCTGTAATAGCTTCTTTTTCACCATGTTCAATACGTGCAGAAAGTAATGGATCTATACCAAAATCAACTCTTCTTCGAAAATCATCACTACTTTGTTCATCATCATCATCTTCACTATTTATTAATTCTTCTTCAATTTCATCATTATCACTGTTAACATATTGAGAATCTAAGAAAAATTTAAAAAAATAAAAAAAAATACTTCCATTGTTTCTCTTTTATTACCAATTTTATTCCCTTGTACGACATTTCTTGTAACGACAGGTGTATTATAATTATTTCCCATTGTATATGGTCTTTTCCCGCCTGATATATAATCACTTACAGTCGATGAATCTGTTTTAGTAAGAGTACCTGAAATATTTTTTTATATGAAAATCACATCTAGAAATTATTAATTAAAATTTACCTCTTGGATTTGTATCAAGTAGATTTGATGATGATGATTGTTTTCGGCTAAGAAATATAAATTTAATATAAAAGAAAAAGGTTTTTTTCTGAGATACTACTCACCGTTCTTCAACAACATGTGCTTTATAAATTTCATCACATGGATGATCCCATGATGATTTACCAGTATCAAAATTAAAATAATATAATTCACCATTCTCTTCTTGACATGGTTTCCATCCAGGTGGTAATGGTTTTAAAATACCTTCTTTCGCTAACCAAAGAAGATTAGGTTCCTATGATAAAAAGAAACTTTTCTGAATGTTTTTCGTTTTTCGTATAATTTTACTTTCTCAGGATCAATACCAATATAAATCGCATATTCACGAATTTCTTCTTGAGTTGGTTCATAAGTTTCATCAAATTGTTCTTGTAAAATTGTTTGATTATTTATTTTATATTCCGGAAATGTGATCATTGTTAAATATGAAGTGTCTTTTTATTCTCCTTTTTTTCTTCTCTTCTTCTTCCAGTGACAAAATAAATTTTGTATACAAAATTTTGTAACAATTGAAGCAGTTACTTTTTCTTTAATTCTTTCAATGCCCCGTTAAATCAGCAAATTGAAGGCCTTCTTATTTTTATTTCATACCCTTACTTTCTCTTTTCTTTTTTTTTTTGTTCTTTCCATCCTATTTCATAGCACTGATTGTTGTCAAAGGAGACTAACTCTTCTATACTTTTAAATTCCACCAGATGTCAGTGATAAACATAATGAATAATAACTATATACGCCCTTTTCTATTAGTTTTAAAACTTGAATCATTTTATTTTTTCGAGCTTTTTTCATACTCATAATAACAAAATATGCATGAATAAAATGAGAGTTATTATATAATGCTATTTAACCATGAACAAAACGTTTGCCATGAACAAAACGTTTTTCAAGAAGATCATCACTGCTATCAGCATCGTCGCTGATTGATCGACCATGGACAAAACCTTTTAAATAAGCTCTACAATAAAAAAAAATATGAATTATTCTTTGATAACAAAATAAATTTAAATATACCTTTTAGTAAACAAGTGATTATTAGTACAGAAATAGTGACAAAGTTTATGTAGATCATCATTTGCTTCATTCGATGTTGAAGGTTCTTCATGAAGAATAGTTCTAAAGATTTTTTGAAGATAAAAAATACTTTCATAAGACTAAATTTATTCTTACTCTGTTTTAGAATCCGATGACTAGAAAAATAAATATATATATATATATAATATTAAACTTAAATAGATAGGTATTTAAACTTACAAGAGATACAGAACAAACTGTAGTGAAGAGTAGGAAGACCATGCATATGGCCATAGTGAATCGGACAATAGTATTAGTTTGCATGATGTTGTAGTGTTTACTCGAGATGAATGATAGAATAAATGTTGTTTGAACTATTACTTTCCACTTATAAAATAACTCAACAAAACAAGATGAGAAAAAAAAGAGATCGATGAGCGTAGGACGTGTTTTCTCTCATCATACAGGAATGCTCGAAAAAAAAAATAATTTTTTTTCTTCTATAATGATCAACAATCATTTATTTTATTATCACTTTAGAGACATCGATATATGTATATATATATATATATTATCGGAAAGTGAACCTAGTCGAATTAATATAATTATGTTTTCGTCAATTAAAAAACTATTAAAATTGATCGAATAATTTAATGATAAA